CGACTCATTGATTATAGTTCCCAAGTAATTGTATTGTGAGACACGTTCAATTCTCATTTGGTTCACATACAGATTTGCTCCAGTTATGTTTTGCTTGCTGATGATCATTAGCTTGGTTTTGCTGGTGTTTATATCCAGTCCATAGGTTCTACTTGTTTCTGTTATTTTGTTCATTAAGTTTTGCAGCCCTTCTATGGTATTGGAAATCACTATTGTATCATCTGCATACCGCAGGTTATTAAGCTTGACTCCATTTATTGAGATGCCTTCATCAATATCTTTTAGGGCCTCTTCAAAAATGTGCTCCGAGTACAGATTGAATATCAGTGTTGAAATTATGCACCCCTGTCTCACTCCTCTTAAGATTTTGACCTGTTCTGTATATTCTCCATCTATTCGGAGTACCGCTGATTGATTCCAATACAGATTAGCTATAATTTTTAAGTCTCTTCCATCAATCCCTGTCCTCTTCAGCACTTCCATCATTTGTTCATGCCTGACTCTATCGAACGCCTTCTTGTAGTCAATCAGGCATGCAAAAACATTACAGCTGACATCTCTACATTTCTGAAACAAGATCTGCACGCTAAATAAAGCTTCCCTCGTACCAACGGCGTTCACAAATCCAAACTGATTGGGCGCAATTTGTTCCTCGCAATTCCGGTAAATTCTTTTGTGGATGACCTTTAAAAACAGCTTCAGCAGATGGCTCATTAGGCTTATTGTCCTATAATCTTCACAAACTTTTGCTCCTGGTTTTTTGGGCAATGGTACGAACTCCGATTTGAGCCACTCTACTGGTATTTTTCCTCCCTTGTATATTTCATTAAATATATCAGTTATTATTTTTATTGTTCTGTATCTAATAGCTTCAGCAGTTCTGCAGGAATTTCATCAAGTCCCGGTGTCTTTCCATCCTTCATTTGTCTGACGGCTGCCGTTATTTCTTCTGGTAGGATTTCGGGACCTAAATTTTCTTCAACGGTGGGCTCTTGTACTGTTCTAAGGTCATGGAAAAGTTTCCCCAAGTATTCTTCCCATACTTTTTTTTATCTTCTTTGGTTATGGCAAGATTGCCTTCATTATCTGTTATTTTTCCGCTGTTGCGTTTTCAAAACTTTCCAGCTATTTCCTTCACCTTTCGATGAACATTGAAGTTATCATATCGACTCTGACACTCTTCTATTTCTTGACATTGTTCTGTTTTTTGTTTCTCTTTGGCTTCTCTTATTTTTCTTCTGACGATGGTATGTATTCTCTTATATTCTTGGAGATTTTCTTTGTTTTTTTTCTCTGATCCATAAGCTCAAGTATTTCATCGGTCATCCACGATTTGCGTTTCTCTGTGTCTTTCTTCAGGTGTTGTTCTTTTATTTCTCTCACTGTTTCTTGTATGATGGTTCAGACCTTCCTCTATAGTTTCTGGAGCAGCAATTCAAACAGCAGTTCCACTGTGATCTTCTCTCTTCCTTTCATCCAGCCCTGGCATACAAACATCCAGAGCATGTATAGTTGCGGTAAAGCGGAGCATTCACTTTCCGATTTCAGTTCCCACTTAGTATGACTACTATAGTTAGATAGTCTTCTCCACTAATCCAACTTGCTATCAAACTAACTTCAGCCTAGTCTGTATTCTCGATAGTGTACATCGTTGAGTCAAAAAATGTATTGAGTAAAGTTTAAGCCAAATATAATTAAAAGGAGGAAAATGGCAGCATTGTGCTTGCTAGTGTCATCATTTAAAAAGAAAGGAAACACATTGTGTGTGACACTAAGTTGCTTAATGTAATTACTGAGGATGATTACAGACACTACCGCAGAATGCTATGTTGGTAGTGTTTTTTTACTTCAACATCACATTCAGCAAGTGTTGTTAAACTATTTTCTGCTCATTTCGCTTCTCGTATAAAACTCTACTAGTATCCCACAAACAGAGACTATTTCTATAAATATTAATAAATTCAGAAACTCCTTCACTGGTCAAGCGCTGACTGAGGAAAGTTTTGATACGACTTCCGACCCCTCCATTCATGCACCCACTTCGTCGCCAGTCTGAAGTTGGACCTTCGAATCGTTCCTCTAGATGTTCCGACCCGTACACCTAAATTTCCAATAATTCAGCAAACCCACTCACGATCTGATATCGGATCCAACTTCGGAGGTTGGACCACAAGTCAGACTAAATATCGAAAAATAAATACTGCGCTTAACATATATTGTAGAATATTTTAAATGCGGCCAAATTTGATCCCATCTGTTTTATTTTCTTTTTTCACAATCTACCCGGATGCATGTGCGAATCGTTTTAGTTGAGAAGCAGTTCGTTTCTGTTATTTGACACAAGTTGAAGGACAAAGCTAAATGCTTTCTTGTTTCCGACAAAATTAAAAACGTGGACATTTATAACACTCTGATGGGAGACGATTGTAACATATTACAATGGACCCCATGCAAAATAATAGACAAATTGAATTTACTTAATTTTATATTTTGGTTTGCAGAAATATGCCACTTTCCAGAATACGAAAACGGAGATAAGTCCTTCGAAAATTCTATTGGGACAGGCAACTAAATTGGTCCTAACCAAAATACCGACCAACTGACGTTTATTCTCCGTCCTATGAATTTTGCATCAAGAAAAGGTTCCTTTTATTTAAGAGGCTCCAAGACTTGAAGGTCCCAGAACAGTGGAGTCACGAAAATGGCATCAAGGGATTGGTTTTTTCAATTTCATAAAGAGAAACTCCACCTTATCAATAAGTGTACCAGAAGCGATAAGTCACGCAAGGACTGTACATTTTAACAGGATCAATATTGATAATTTTTTTCACAATTTGGCCAGAGCGATGGAGAGGGGCATATTTGAGCCTGCGAATATATACAATTTAGATGAGACAGATGATTTTCTGTTCTTCATCTTTTTAAGTATTTTCCGAACTTCCTCCAAACATTTTTGTGTTGTGTAATTAATATTCTGACAAATTCTTCTTCTTTTTCTAATAACGCTACAACCCTTTGTGAGCCTTGGCCTGCGTAACAATATTCTTCCATCTCCTCTCTACGTCATCTATCCATCTTTTACGGGACCTTCCTCTTGTTCTGTTTCCTTGGGGCTTTCATCTCTGGACTACTTTTACAGCTCGATTATCTGGCATTCTTTCTAGGTGAACAAGCCAGTTTAGTCTTTGTGACTTTACAAATCTAACAATATCTGTGTTCTGCATTATTTCGTCCAGCTCGTGGTTAATTTTAATTCTCCACGAACCATCGCTGCATTGGATTGGTCTAAATATCTTCCTTAGTATTTTGCGCTCAAATATTCTCAGTTGATTTTCATCAGTGGTTGAGGGGGTCCAGGTTTCACATCCATATGTGACCATTGGTCTAATTACTGTTTTGTAGATTCTAAGCTTGACTCACGATTCAGTAACTTACTTTTCATTAAGTCTTTGTATGCATAAAAGCACTTATTACCGCTAAGAATCCGTGCTTGTATTTCTTGGCTGATGTTGTTGTTGTCATTTATTATCGAGCAGGTAGGTAGGGAAAAGTGGAGGCATATTTGTAGGTATGGTTGTCTACCTTCAAAATCTCATGTTGATTCGATTTTGTTCACTCCATATATTTTGTTTTGCTTTCATTTATATATAGACCAAACGTAGCAGCTTCTCGTTTCAGTTCTATAATTTTTTCGCTTCATCATCATCATCATCAATGGTACTACAGCCCTATGAAAGAGCCTCGACCTTCCCAAGTCTATTACGCCAGGCAGTCCTATCCATTGCCAACCGTTGCCAGTTTGCTGCGCTTATCTTTCTACCATCCTCATCTACACCATCCTTCCATCTGAGTTTTGGCCTACCCCTTTTTCTACTTCCCACGGGTTGTGACGTAAGGATTCTTCTATGAGGGTTGTTCTGCTGTGATCTTGCTAGATTTCCTGCCCATCTTAGTCTTCCTATTCTTATAAGAGATACAATTTTTTCGCTTAATACCCTTTTATTGCGGCTTAATATTATGGCAACATCATCCACAAATGCGCATATTTGCATTGATCTTGTATTAATACATCCGTTTATATCCAATTTTCTAACAGCTTCTAAAGTTAGATTAAAAAGTGTTGTTGATAAGGCATCACCTTGTCTAACTCCATTTTCAATTCTGACAAATTACAAAAGTGTAATAATGAAAAGACTCTCGTTTTAAAAAATTGTTATAATTTTAGGTTTTTTATTTGTAAATGAACAAAACAAGAGCGGGGACGTTTTTTGATAAATCTTAAAAATTTTGAACGGTATACATACCGCACTGTGAAAACAAAAGTGGCATTATACTGAAAACATCAATTTTTAGTTATAGCGACATCTGCATTACTTTTGACTTAACGCTCCTTTTGCAAAGACTCCTGTTCTAATAGCTCGCATAGTTTCTCCTAGAAGTCGCTAGTGTCACTTTTGACTTTTAGGTGTTTTGTCAAAGTGGTGATTTCAAAAGTGGCACTCTATCTGTTTTCGGCGGATTGTTGAAGGAGAAGCACGTCGTGGTAAGTAAAAAAGTGACATTTTTTCTTTAGTGCCGGTTTTTACGTAAATTATGTAATTATTCTGCTAGTTAATGAATGAAAAACTGGCATTTTAAGTATAGTGTCGGTTTTTGAATAACCTAAATGACTAAGTTCTTATATCAATGAATTAAATAATAGCATTTTTCGTTAAGTGCCATTTTTTCTAAAGATTGGAATGAAATTATACTGTTTTTTGTAACTAGATAAATGTCAAATTTAGTTTAATGTCAGTCTTTTAGTAAAAATAATAGGACAATCATGCTGTATTTTAATAAATAAAAGATATTTTTGCAGTTTCTCGTGTGTAGTCGTTTTATAATAATGTAACATAAATAACTGTGATTATTTGTTGAAAAATTACATGATTTTAATATTAAAATACACCATCAAAATATTGCTAAGTGCATAGACTTTTTTTGTTTAAGGGGTTATAATCATGGACAATTCACACAGTAGAAGTAGAAGAATATTACAATTAGTTGCTCAAAAAGGTAGTCAAAATCCAGTACCTGAAAAAATGGAAGAAAGATGCCGAAGTTTAGTTTTTACAGAAACTAAATCCAACCATTTGCAAACATCCAGCAAGGACTTCGCTTCGTTTAACAAAGAAAACTTATCCAGTGATGACAGCGGTGACTTTTCACCCGTTTCGGATGATGACAGAACATACGCACCCCCCAAAAAAAGATGCCGTAAATCTAGCTCTTCATCTACTTCCAGATCTTCATCTTCTTCCAGCTCGTGCTCCTGTTCTACAAGATCTTCTACATGTTCTTCAAGTGCTTCCTCACATTCTTTAACTAAATCTGTAGCTTACGTAGATGAAAAAAATGCAGAACTTTCTAATGAAAACGAAATAATCATACATGAAGAAGTAGTAAGTAAAAATGGTGGTGATTTGACGACAATTATAAATGAGAATAATTCAAATTATTTTAACGAGGATTTTAATGAACATGTTATATCTAACGATGTTGGTGAAGAGTTGTTAACTATAACAGATAATGAAAATGTTCGAATTGCAAATAATAATGTCGTGGAGGATATTCCATCTGCGGTTGGAAATGGGATCGACAAACCTAGGAAACAAAAAAAAAATGAACGATATGCCAAAACTGTTAAGTCTTTAAAAAGACTCTGGACAAGAATATGTTTCGAGTTCTAGATCAAAAAAGTGTTCCAAGCTAAAAACTATAAAAAGTTCTTGTGGATTACGTTGTCGCCTGAAAATGCCCCGAAAAAATTAATGAGGAATCAAGAAAAACGATTATTCCATGATTATTGGGGAATGGCTTCGCTGATCAGACAAAGAGAATATATCGCGCGTAATATAGAAGAGATCCATCCCAAGTATCAATACAAGAAAGCAGATTCGACTAGAAAGTTAAAAAGTGCGTTCTATTTTGATGTCAATGGTACTAAAAGCAAAATATGTAAAACATTTTTTAAAAATACATTAAATATAACAGATAGATGTATCAGAACAGTTATTGAGAAGAAAAATAATATGACTGGTATACTAGAAGGTGAACAAAGAGGTAAACATGGAAAACATCGGAAAGTGCCAATTGACTTGACAGAAGGAGTAAAACGTCACATCAATAGTATACCTCGAATTGAAAGTCATTATTTGCGGAAACAAACAACGAGGGAATATATAGATGGCGGAAAAACCTTAACAGAAATTTATTTTGATTACAAAGAAGACTGTATACAACAAAGATCGCCCTATGTAATGATACACACATATCGAAAAATATTTAACGAGGAGTTTAATATTGGGTTTTTTGCACCAAAGAAGGATCAATGTGAGCAATGTACTAAATACAAGCTTGCTGAAGGTTTGTGAAAAAAGTTGCACAAAAAGAAAATTATGAGCGACATTTGGCTGAAAAGAAAAGAGTCGCGAGGAAAAGGCTAATGATAAAGAGAAGGTATCGCACAGTTTTATTGTGGCATGTTATGACTTGCAAGCAGTAATGCCAGTTCCAAATGGTGAGGTATCAACTTTTTATTACAAGTCTAAAGTAAATTGCTTAAATTTCACTATTTCTGAACTCAAACAGGACAAAACTGAATGCTTCTTTTGGGATGAAACACAAGGAAATCGCGGAGCTAATGAGATAGGTAGTTGTATTTTAAAGTATCTACAGAAAAAGTCGCTAACTGCTGATGAAGAATTGAATGTCATCTTTTATTCTGATAACTGTTGTGGACAGCAAAAAAACCAGTTCATTATTGGGATGTACAGTTGCGGTCACGGAATAGTTTACAGGTTCACATATCTAGGAGCCCATTTTTTAAATTTTTACTTCGTTTAAACGCACCTTTTACGTCAAAGTGACGTTGCCAGTGGTGTACTAGCTAGGATAGGTAGATTAAAATTAAAATATCAAAATATTTTACAAAATGAAAAATATAGAAAACAGTTTTTTGAATAAAATGGATTATGATCTTAATAACGAAAATAAAGAAGTATTTTTTTTTAATATGCATTTTATTTTAAATCTATTTTATATTAAATAACGATAAACAATGATAAATAATAATTAATATTTGGTGGAAGCCCCATTCTTGTCAATACAATTTTGCAGTCTTCTGTTCATAGATAGCACCAATCCCCTCATGTTATAGTTAACAAGCTCTTCCCATGCCTGCTCAATTGCTTCCCATAATTCAATTCTATTCCGTGGTCTAAGGTTTCTTTCATTTAGTTTCTTTGTTAACTCTGCCCACACATTTTCGACGGGGTTAAAGTCTGCACTACGGGAAGGCCACGGAAGAACATTAACATCAGTTTCTTCTAGCCATTCTCGAACAATTCTACTCGTATGCACCGGGCAATTGTCATGTTGGAAGATAAAGTCGTTGTTGGGGAATCTCTGGATCACCGATGGCAACATTGTGTGCTCAATAATATGTTTGTAATATAATCCTGTTAACTTCTCCTCTACATGATAACAAACGCCCGGGCCTTCGGCACTTATCCATCCCCATACGTTGACAGAGAATCCTCCACTATTTCTTAAATGATGCGTATACTGTTCATCATACCTATGATTTCTCGGCCTATAAACTCTTATTCGACCATTATTATACGACTGAAATACTTTTTCATCGGAAAATACAACCCTAGACCAAAAATTCTCATCGCGGTTTATAAATTCATTACAAAATTCAACTCGTCTCCTCTTGTGATCCTCAGTCAAAAAAGGTTTCCGTGCAGCTACACAATTTAGCAGTCCACTTGCTTTAATTCTTCGACGTGCAGTGCGAATACTGCCTGGAAACGCTGCCTCTTCTCTTGACTTTTGAGCTGTGGCAAAAGGAGATTCTCTCAAATAATCTACTAACATCTCATCCTGTTGATCTGTGGAAATCTTCTGCCCTCCTGAACCGCCCAACCGTGCTATAGAGTAAAAATTATCCCATCTTTGTTTAATCTTCCATATGCACATATGACTCACGTTCAAATCAGCAGCAACTTGCCTTAGTGACCAACCTTCTTCGAGTTTGGCAATTGCTCTTGCTTTTTGCGCATAATTCAAATGTATTCTAACCATTTTGGAAGAGTTTAATATACTTTTATTTTATTGTTGAACACTCGCGAAAGCATTGACGTTTTGAAATTTTTTGACTTTGACATTTATCAAATCCGTACGACACTGCAATTTTACAGTATTACAATATAAAAAGTAAGGTGTAAACTATTCCGTGACCGCAACTGTACATACATGCTGTCTTAAATTTAAAAATAAAATCTATTACCCACAAATTTCTAATTACGTGGTCATACTCAAAACGAAGGAGACGCTGTACATTCTTTGATTGAAAAACAAGTCAAAAGATGTCTTAAGTCAGGACCAATATACGTACCTTCGCAATATATTTTTGCTATTCGAAGCGCAAAAAAAAGAGGGACAACCTTTCGTTGTAAATGAAATGAGCTATGGCGATTTCTTGGATATAAAACAATTACCGGTTCCGAGGCTGAATAAGAGCGTAGACGGCCAAGTTGTAAAACTGTCTAATTTAAAAGTAATCAAAGTTGAGAAAAACGAACATGAAGACATAAAAATTAGCTACAAAACATCTTACTTTGATGATTTTAAAGAGCTTGACTTAAATAAAAGATCCAATAGAAATAGTCGTCCTTCAGAAATCAAACCTCTGTATCAGCGTAAATTGGATATATCACAGAGAAAGAAAGATGATGTAAGAAGTCTTATTGATGCTGGCTTAATTCCCAATTATTACAAATCCTATTATCAAAGTATGTTTGAATAATATTTAAGTTTTTTAATTATTTTGAGTTCAAGAAAATGTTAAGTTTCATTAAGTATTAATAACAGTTTGTTCACTTTTATCAAATAAACAATTTTTCTTTTTAATATGACACAATTTCGTTTTATTTTTCTCTTTTTTTATCATAAGGTAAATATTAACTTGACTTTTTATTCTAATGATCAGAACTTTTATGTAAAACAAAAGTGGCACTATAAGGAATTTTTTTTAAAGATTTTTTTCTAAATTAGTAGTTACATTATTAATTTGCCTTCTTCGGTAGAAGCTAACTGTGCTTTAATCAAACTGTTGAATAACATTAATTATAGTATTTAATTCGGTTATTTTAGTTCAATATCCATTACAGAACTTTTCGAAAAACTTTTAAACGGTCATACTGAAATATTTAGTTTTTGGGATAATGCCACTTTTGTTTTCAAGGTGCGATACGTTAATTTTAGATTTAGCTCTGTTTTAATAAAGTTGTTTTAGTATCAATAGAAAATGTAGCTAGCCTATTTCCACACGACAGGTAAATAACTTTTACACTTTATGAACTGCCGCATCCTTAAATTTGAGCACTTTGAAGGCATTAAATAAAAATTTCTCTCGATCAAACGTCACATTAATTTGTCGTAAATAATAAATAATTATCTAATTTTTTATAACGGCGTACCTTGTACGTGAATAAAGTTAGGATACAAATTATGATCAGCCTTTAGTCACACATCGGGTGTAGTAATAAAATTAACCAACAGAGAAATAACATAAACCTAAGAAATGACACAAATTACTAAACAGGCGAGAGAATCATAATTTTTGACATGGCAGAGACGTGCTACCATGCGCGTCCAGCTGTGACTTACAGAAGGAGCAGGCAATTTTTTACGGAGTATTTTTGGAAAGATCTACGACAAATGTTAAAAATTGTTGGGATTTTTTTCTATTTCGAAAAATGTCCTTTCGGTAGTTAAATAATGTCAGTTCCTGGTAAGTTTTTAGTTTTTATTGGTCTATGAAGTGTTTAAAACACAAGAAATAGACAATACGCCGTGACTTACGCACGGGACATGTTTTTTCCCTAAGTATTGTGGAAATATATACGACAAATCTTAGACATTGTTAAGATTTTTGTACATTCGAACAATGTTTTCAGTAGTTAAAAAATGTTGGTTCTTGGTAGGGTTTTATTGTTTTATTGGTATATAAAAAACCTAAAATATGCGCTTTAAAAGTAAAAGCCCTTTTTGAGTATTCCTTCTTCTGCTTCAATTTCTTTCCTTATTAAAAAATTTAAGAACTCTTTCTTTTTACAGTTACTGTTAAGTAATAGTTCCTTTATTCTGCAATGGTAACTGGCATTATCCATAACTACGACATAATTGATCGGTAAAAAATGTATCACTTGTCCACAATAATTTTCGAAAATATTCTTTCGTAGAGTTTGAAACAAAATCTAACAAACCTTGATAAGAAAATTCTTTATCTTCTTCAATATGAGTGATAATTAAAGGACGACCTTTTCCAGCCGGAAATTTTAATACAGTACACACCCTCACTCGGGGTGAATCAAAACTACATGCACATAGGCAGTATCATTTTGATTACTGTGTTAAAGTGGAGAAGAATTCTTCATAACAAGTTAATACGGACACTTTTAGACGACAATTACCATATTGTGTACAACTGTAAGTAAATTGCGACTATGTCCCATAGTGTTACCCCATAACACAATGAAACAGAGCTAGAAGTACAGATATACGACGTAGATACAAGGTGCAGAACATCAAGAAGTGGGTAAGAAATAGAAGTGTAGAATGGAACGATCATATAAGCTGAATGACAACAAATAGAGTAGTAAAGATGGCAAGGGAGGGTTCCCCAATAGGAAGACGATCAGTAGAAAGACCACGAAATCGATGGAACGATAACTTGCTGGAGGCACATTGAAAAACAGACAGAGTCATGTCTACATAAAAAGAAGAGGAAGAAGAAGAATTACCATATTACATTGATACGGCTAAAACACAGCGATGGGGTAGGCAACGGGAAACCACCTCATTATCTTCTTCTTCTTAGCCTTCTGTCGTCCATGTTTGGACATAGGCCTCTCCCAACTCATTCCATCGGTCTCTATCCTGAGCAACATATTTCCAATTTGCTCCGGCTATTCATCTAATGTCATCAACCCATCTCATCTGTGGTTTTCCTCTTGGTCGTTTACTTTCGTAACGTCTCCAATGTTGTATTGTAGTATTCCAACGTTGGTTTTTCTGTCTAGCAGTGTGGTCCGCGAAGCTCCATTTAAGTTTTGCAATTTTTATTGTTATGTCCTCGACTTTTGTTTTGGATCTTACCCAGTCGTTCCTCTTTTTATCTGACAGTCGTATACCTAACATTGCTCTTTCCATTGTGGCTAGTTTATTCATGTTTGCCTTGGTTAGGGTCCAGGTTTGACATCCATATGTCATGATAGGAAGGATGCATTGGTTGAACAATTTGTTCCTCAAGTATTGGGGTATTTTGCGGTTCTTAAGTATCCAACTAAGTTTTCCAAATCCTGCCCATGCTAGTCTTGCTCTTCTAGTAATTTCCGCACTTTGGTTCTCTTTGTCAAGTCTCATTATACTTCCTAGTAAAGTCACCAAGGCATGGATTACTGAAACGAATAATATTACTGATCATGGGCTGCAAAACTCAAGATGTGACAGGGAATGCAATACACAATTAAACCAGAAGGCTTCTTAGGTCGCTAATAAGCGAAATCCTGGTGCACAAAACACCACCAGATATAAGATGAAAATGAAAAACCTGTCTAAAAGAGCTACATGGTATGTAACAACTTTATTATGAAGCTGGTAAGCGGCGAAATCTAATCACTGAAACATTTACCACACTAAACATTTTTACCACATAACAACAACACAATTTGTTTAATTTATTAATGATTTGTATCCGAAGTTAGGGAATCTAACCTAAATTTTTTGTATTAAGAGTATTCAAATAACAACTTATAAATAACTTACATAAGTACATAAGATAATAATTGGATATACAAATCGTCAGAAGTGGACACTTTTTTCTCGAATACCTATACCCTTCATCAAGCACTATGAACGACAATGAAAACCGCCATGTACAAACTCGTAAATATCCATCAGATGCTGTCAATAGAATCACCGTTATCAAATTGCCGTAAAACGTGTTTTTTTATTTCCACAAACTTCGTAAATAAATAGTAAATAATTAAGAACCTATCACTTCGTACTTTATTTCCAATAAAGTTAAATTAGAAAAAAATAAAATTGTGCAATAAAAGAACCATATACGCAGCGGGAGGTTTCTTAATTGGCGCTGAATGTTTAATTTAGAGAAACGTTTCGGCATTTGGAGACGATCGTGAAATTTTAGAATTGCTTAATACGTTTATCTACATAAAACTAACATTCTAATGCAAGAATTTCTTGAAACTACAGACATATATACATACATAATAATATAAGTCAGCGATGCACACTTTTACCTAGAGTTTTAGTGACATTTAGAGTTAACATTAACATTATCACAATCATTATTATAACAGACAATGCATTATGCTAACTCTACGTTTAACCAGTACACAGAGGTAATCATTGCAAAGAGGCTATAAGTAATGTTTGTAGAATAATTTAGAAATATTATAATGATTGTTTAAGGTCTTCTTCTTCTTAGAATGCCGTCTCCCTACGGAGGTTGGCAATCATAATGGCTATTTTTATTTTAGAACTTGCTGCTCTAAACAAATCAATCGATACAAATCAATTGATACCAATCACGTAGAGTTTTAACCATGAGTTTTACCTTCGGTCAACAGATCTTCTTTCTTGAATCTTTCCCTGTATTATGAGTCTCAAAATTTCATATTTTGGACCCCTCATCACATGGCCGAGGTATTCCAGTTTTCTGGTTTGTGCTGCGTTCTGCACATACGATGACCTCAATATAACAATTAAGGTCATCCTGAAGGGGGAGAGATATTCTGTTCAATCTAGAACTCGCTGGTTTCCCCCTTTCAAAATGGGTATGTATATTCAAATAAAAGAAGAGAAATGAAAGGCAGCGGACTGTATAAAACTCTATTTTAAAAAGCTGTAAAATTAAACATAAATATACATAACCAAATAAACCATTATAATTAAAGAAGAATATATTACTTAAAGAAGAAGAATATATTACAAACTTAACTATTAGCTACTAAGAAACACCAACAGATACACCAAAAGACACACCAAAAGACAACCATAAACCAACCAAAACAAAAATGTCGATTCTATAAAAAAACCACTGACAAAACAAAAGACAAAACCTACCATAGCCGCAAACATACTATACATAAAAAGATAAAAGATAAATTAATAATCTTACAAAAAAATCAACCTAAATAAGGATATAACATTTTAATGTTGTAAAAGCAAATTAAGAATGCGGTGCATACAAATAATTAATAAATACAATTATTAATACAAAACATAGAAGAAATAAAATCGGTGTTAACAAAATACAAAAAAAAATATACAATACAGTAAATAACCCGAAACAAATGCAAAATGTCCAATTAACAATGTTCAATCTCGATCGCGGCACAAATACGATAAAGTTCCAAATGTCAAATAAATATACCAAGAGCACATACTTGATATATGCAGCAACAAATTAATATGGTGTATTGTTTCTTACCCCATGAAAAAGATAGCTCCAACGCTATCGCAAATTATGTCTTCAGCGACATTTCAACTACCAAAAGTTGTGATGCACATTAGCGTATTTCTTGGCCGATGCGGAATCAGGTACTCTTCGTCTTCACATTGTTCACATACACATGTTCATCGTTTGAGAGATACTTTTCGACTCTGGTTTTGTATGGAACGCAAACCCTTATTTTAGGTACACAC